CACCCCTGAAGAGATTAATAGTACATGAGAACACAAGCAGGAAACAAGGAGTTTATGGCTACAGGTGGAGGAGGGTAAGTTCATAGAGTTCTGTCAGTCTCATTGCCTGGCAAATGGATACAGAACATTAACCAGGTTCATTCTATCATAAATCCATCTTGAAATGGGCACAATTCAGCTTTTGTTGTTTGTGACTGGTTCTGGAATCAGATATGCAGAAACACAGAGAACCATAACAGATCAGCCTGGAGATTCCTAATGGCAATTGCTCCTTAAGCAAGGCAGAATTAAGGTGATTTTGCCCAAGAGCAGTTACTAAACTTGGCCTCTTTTGTGGACTATTTTAGAAGTAGCAGCACAGACATTAAATTCATGAATGAATAGTAAATAACATGCAGAATAGTACAGAAACCAGCACACATAATCAAATGTGAACACATTTTCAGCCCTGAAACTTCAGTGAGACTGAAATTATATTTTTATCAAATTATGTTACACCTAAAACGTTGATCACAAAGGGGAAATGGTACAGAAAAAGTGGGGGGAAGCGATACAATTTTCTTTCAACAAGGGTTCTACAGCTGTGAAGAAGCCCAAAGCTATCGCACCAACTGAACCCTTGACAATCCAACTGTGCATTGAAGGATTCCAAGTATTAGAAATGGGTTATCAACAAGTCCTGGTGAACAAAACATTTCCAATGGTTCCATAAAATTACTGAAATAATGCATTGCAATTTGAAAACGTAAGATGTGCTGTATCCATGTGAAGGGTGATTGTGTGTTCAGAAGTTTCTAAATGTGGGTTGCATTTCTTTATTCTTTGTGTGTACTTCTATTTTGCTCCGGGAACACTTGAAATGTGTAATGTGCACATATACAACATAGCTGTATCTATTATCATATTAGATTTAATATGTCTACCCACATAATCTAAAGGCATCAGATGCATCTGAGGAAGTAGAATCATAGAGTTGGAAAAGACCTCGTAGGCCATTCAGTCCAACCCCCTGCCAAGAAGCAGGAAAATTGTATTCAAATCATCCCCGACAGATGGCCATCCAGCCTCTGCTTAAAAGCCTCCGAAGATGGAGCCTACACCACACTCCGGGGCAGAGAGTTCCACTACTGAACAGCTCTCACTCTTAGAAAGTTCTTCCTTAAGTTCTTCCTGTAGTTTGAAGCCATTGTTCTGTGTTCTAGTCCTCAGGGCAGTAGAAAATAAGCTTGCTCCCTCCTCCCTATGACTTCCCCTCATATCTTTATACATGGCCATCACGTCTCTTCATCTATGAAAACGTATGCCACCAACTTAAATATCTCTGTTAGCTTCTACAGTGTTACAAATCCTTTTACATTCATATGTCTTTGACCATCTATCTTCAGGTATATAGTCCACACAATCCCTGAAACACACCTCAGAAGGAGTCCTCTTCAGTTGCTTTAAATGTTGAGATGTTTTTGGTCCACTTCTGGGGCAAGAATGATTAAGAGCAAGGCTTCTTCTTACCTAGTGTAACATTCTTACTTTGACTGAGCCTCTGAGTTCTTATGCTGCTTCTTTTGCCCTCTCTAGAAAAAAGCAACCTAGATCATATCAGCAACTGTCAGGTTCAAGAGACTATCCCCAAAACACACCTCAGCTTTTGTTGTACTCTCGTGTGGACTTGAATTAGGAACCACTCCAAGAACCAACCTTAGCTGTAAAGCAGCATTTCTCAACCTGGGGGTCAGGGCACCTGGTAGTGGGGGTCAGAAGGGTTGCCAAAGACCATCAGAAAACACAGTTTTTTCTGTGGGTCATGGAAGTTTTGTGGGAGAAGTTTGGCCAATAGTGTGGTTGGTGGTGTTCGGAATGCTCTTTGATTGTACTTGAACTATAAATCGCAGCAACTACAACTCCCAAATGTCAAGGTCTATTTTTCCCCAAACTCCAATTTGGGCATATTGAGTATTCATTTGGTCCAGATCCATCATTGCTTGAGTCTACAGTGCTCTCTGCATGTAGGTGAACTACAACTCCAAAACTCAAAGTCAATGCCCACCAAACCCTTCCAGTATTTTCTCTTGGTCATGGGAGTTCTGTGTGCCATGTTTGGTTCAATTCCATCATTGGTGGAGTTCAGAATGCTCTTTGACTGTAGGTGAACTATAAATCCCAGCAACTACAACTCCTAAATGACAAAATCAATCCCTCCACCAACCCCACCAGTATTCAAATGTGGGCGTATAAGGTGTTTGTGCCAAATTTGGTCCAGTGAATGAAAATACATCCTGCATATTATTTACATTACGATTCATAACAGTAGCCAAATTACAGTTATGAAATAGCAACTAATATAATTTTATGGTTGGGGTCACCACAACATGAGGAACTGTATTAAGGGGCCGTGGCATCAGGAAGGTTGAGAAACATTTCTGTAAAGTGTGCTAGAAATACATAAATAACAAGACACGGATGCTTTTAGAATGCAATGACTTAATTTTCCAAAGTTCAAATTTTGCACACAAAATTCTATAATGAATGAGACAACAAAATGTAGTTACTTTAAAAATCTGAATGCAAGGATTTCTACAAACATGGCATCCTGAATGCAGCCTGTATCATCAAATTCAAATTAGTTTCCAATCAAGCTTTAAAAGCATTGCTTTTAAAGCTTGATTGGAAGGAAGACAGAAGAAAAGGGCTTGCTAGCATTATAAAACATTGTCAAATAATTATTTGAGTGATGCAGGGTGAATGTATAATAAAAGCCATGTCTGGAAGCATTGCACGTATGTTTAAATGTGGCTTCTTTGCAGTGAGTCAGCAATTATCTGATCCCTTCACAGAACAATTTAGACCAGTCACATTGCAAGCTCCTTTATAGGAAAGAGTAAGCATCCTGCACGCTGGATTAAGGCATCTTCTCCTTATATCTGCTGCACAAATGTGAAGATAGATCTTTGGACTAGCACTTTCTGTAAGAAATTTGTTGCATCTTCACCAAAACAGTGCTGTTTCATCTTCTTGACAAGATCAGAAATCTGTTAGGATCTTGGTGTTGTTGGCCTGCAGCACCTGTCAGCCTGAGCACATAGCCAACAGTGAAGAATTGTGGGAGCCCTAGATCAACATCTGGAAGGCTGTGATCCTTATATAGGATGAAACAGATCACTTGGAAACTAAAGTCCTCTCCATGCCTGTTATAAGCTTTTCTACAATATTGCCTCACCACGGTAATGTATTCAGGTAAAGAAACTTTGTGAAGCACGGTCACCTAAGGGCCCTTCCACACAGCCCTTTACCCCAGAAGATCAAGGCAGAAAATCCCACAATATCTGCTTTGAACTAGGTTATCTAAGTCTACACTGCCATATATTCCAGTTCAAAGCAGACAATGTGCGGTTTTATTCAGCTGTGTGGAAGGAACCTAAGGTTTCTTCTACACAGCTGAATAAAATCCACATTATCTGCTTTGAGCTGGACTATATGACAGTGTAGATGAAGATAATCCAGTTCTAATCAGATAATGTGGATTTTCTGCTTTGACAACCTGAATTATCTGGCAATGCAGAAGGGGCCTAAGTCAGGTCTTGCTTGACATTTTATTCTTGTCTGATGAGAGAGGGCAATAGAATTTTCTTTTTTTCTTACCTTTACCCACAATAGCATGAGCCCAAATGCATGCTAAAGCGAAAACTGACTGTACTTTATCTCCGTCTGTAGTTTCCTGCCAATGGGACAAGAGCCAAACCACCAGGAGGACAGGAACCTAACCGATACCAGAACAATAGCACAAAGGCTAGATTTCCTTCTGAGTTTCGGACTCTTAAAGAACCACAAAGAATGATCTTGATGGGGAAACGTTTGGAGCTTCCCAGGGGGGTCTGTCACATAAAGATTAAAGCTTCCAAGAGGTGATTTTCTTCTGTGCCAAGAAAGATTTTCTGACAGTGTTGCTACCGAATATGCCTTACAACTAGCAGGAATCGATCTATGTATATGTATGCAGTACATTACTGTCTCGAGGGTCCATTCTGACATCTTGAATCCTTTCTTCACCTTTCAAGACCTCTATGGAGCAAGACAGCAATGCTGGATCTGAATGATCCAAGCATGTGATACTAACCAGCTATAACGGCTTGGGGAAAAAATAAGTCTCAGAAGAGGAGACTGAACTTCTCAATATTACAAAGAGGCAAATTGTGACTATTTTCTGGTTGCTTTCTTCCATCAAGTTTACAAGCACAAGCAAATGTAATGTGTTCTGCATTTCTTCTTCCATACATGTATTTGTGTCCTTCTGATTTTTTTCTATTAGTTTTCAATGTACCCATTGTTTTATCACTTTTTGGTATGTAGTGGCACAGTGGGGTAAACCACTGAGCTGATAACTTGCTGACTGAAATGTTGGCAGTTTGAATCTGGGGAGCGGATGAGCTCCTGCTGTTAGCCCCAGCTTCTACCAACCTAGCCGTTCGGAAACATGCAAATGTGAGATCAATAGGTACTGCTTCTGCAGGAAGGTAATGGCGCTCCATGCTGTCATGCCAGCCACATGACCTTGGAAGTGAATACGGATAACGCCGGCTTGTCGGCTTAGAAATGGAGATGAGCACTACCCCACCGAGTCAGACACGACTAGACTTAATGTCACCTTTACCTTTTCTTTTTTTTTAACTTCAGAATGCCGTATTGTCACGATACACAGCTCTTCAGAAATGGAAAGGGAGGTGGTAGAGAATGGTTTCTTGAAGGCATCTTGTTGGCTGTTCCCTTCCAGCCAAATCTTGGAATAGTTACTTTTCTGGATGACAATTTCCAGGGATAAATTCTCACAACTGAATTGAATTTATACAAAAATCGACTTACCATTCAACTGGGAGTAGCAATGGGATTTAGACCTTAGGCCACACTGGTAAGGGATTCTATGAGTTGTAGTCTGCCCTAGGAGAGAAAATCCCACCCCCTCCCTTCTCAGGATCCAGATGAGAAATGAGTCTGGAAGGAGAGCGCCAAACCGAAAAGTTGTTTTATTGGTACCATACATGACCATAAATGGCACAAACTATGCAAAAAAAAAAAAAAAGGCTTTACAGTGCCCCAGGGGGAGGTGGTAGGTTGGAAGGGCAAAGGTGGGGAGAGCGGGACAGAGCACACGTCACCAGTTCATGCCGAGCCACAGCAATGGGGGACGTGACACTCGTATCTTTAAGGTACAAAAAGGATACAGAAAAAAATCCTGTAAATTATAGCCTTGATAATTATATTGCCTGTTTCCAGGGGGTGGTAGTGCAGGATGGAGTATCTGGATCCAACACAGGACTTACTAGCCACCTGAAACCCACTCCACCCCTTAAGTGGATTTCAGATTAATCCAGCTGGGCTCCTCCACCTAAGAGGAGGATTCTTGGTTTCCAGAACAAGTCACATGAAAGCCAAGCTCTTGTGATGGGCAAATGATTATGATGCAACTGGCCAAAAATCCTTAGCAGATATGGGGCAAGAATCCTGCTAAAGAAAACATCCTTATGGCAAGGGACCATGTTGGAGAAACAGCCTGAGTAAGGCAAAGGGATGGTTGCTTATACAATTCAGTCAGTGTCCTTTATAGAATCATAAGAGTTGGAAGAGACCACATGGGCCATATAGTCCAACCCCCTTAAATACAACCATATTCAGCATCTGTCCATGCCACGAGACATCATCCTTAACCAGTAGTTCTTCTCTAATTGTGGGTCTGCAGATGTTTTGGCCTTCAATTCCCAGAAATCCTAACAGCTGGTAAACTGGCTGGGATTTTTGGGAGTTGTAGGCCAAAACACCTGGGGACCCACAGGTTGAGAACCACTGCCCTACACTGTACTCTTCTCTCAAAAAGAGAAAGGAAACCCTCCTTGCACATGGCTAATTTGAGGCTCCAGTGACACAAAAGGAAGTTCCTCCAAAATAACATTGAGGCAAGAAATGTAGGTGGAAGAACGCAAGTGACATTCAAACATTGGAGAGCACAGGACGGGTGGTTTTAGGAATGCGCCATGATTACATGGGGATCTGGTGAACTTAGATACTTCCCATTCAAAAGGATGGGTCTTGGCTGGCTTGTTAGAAGACCTTGCTCTATCATGGCGGAAATGAATGCCCTCTTTTACACAACAGGGAGTTTCCCCTTCCCCAGGTGACGTTTCCTAAGGACTTCCCGCTTTCAGCCCCATCCCCTGCATTCTGCACTGCCCCAAATGGATGACAGTAGCCTTAGGAGCTTTCCAGACACTTGAAAAGGATGCCCATCTTTATGAATCCTCCCCCCTCCCAACCACCATGAATGGGGTGCAGCTGCATTAGTGAGAACACAGTGAAAGAACAGTATCATACACACGGCCTACAGCGCAGAAATATACAAGCACGAGGTACACAAACCCGAAAGGTGGGGAGGGGGAGGAAGGGGTGGCAGAGAAAGGGCGAGCAGCACACACAAGTTACACAGAGGGGGCAAAGTGGGGCAGCCATGCTGTCCTCAAGAGGATTGTATAAAGGAAGTCTGCAAAGTCTCTCCTTGGTTTGAAGCTCTCGGATCTGTATATAAAAACAAAGACTCCCATTGGTAGACAAGCCTGTACAAAAATCAGGATTGGGGAAAAATAGGGAGGGAGGACAGATTCTTTCTTCTCCTTTTTTTCAAACTTACAATTTTAACATTTTTTTTCCTTTAAAAAAACCCAACATCTGGAAATAGGGGTCAAAATTACTGTTTTCTATCATGGTGGACCAGGCAGAGGGTTGCCCCTCTTCCTACGGATCAGACCAGAAGTGACACGTGCCCCTCCACGTCAGTAAGAGGAGAGTTTTCTACCCACATTCCAGGAGTGTGAAGCCCCCACACCCCATCCCCTCCCACCTTGGCTCTCTAGGCTGTTCAGCACTGCAGGAGTAATTGCAATGCCACACTTGCAGCATCCAGGAGGGGCTGCTCAAGACCCATCTCACAAAAACTAGCTGCCCCCATACAGGTCATATTGTTGCCTACTCTCCTGCTAGAAAGGAGCTCCCTGGATGCTGAAGGTAACTGGACTCATAAATTGGGCGCTCGGGTTTCCATCCAATCGACCCTAAGCATTCAGCCTCCTTTCTCTTCTGTGGTGTTCCCTGCCAATCAAGCCAAGGGGTCAGGCTCCATGGGGCTACACAATGGACTTGGAACCACCATCCCACAGCAGTGGTTCTTGCGGGCCCCTGGATGTGTGTGTGTGTGTAGGGAGAAAGAATTGAAATTCTGCTGGGTGGGGGGAAAGGGGAGACCCCGGCGTCACCTGGCCCAGCGCCCCAAGTTCTGCCCCCAAAGGGGCACAGCCAAGAGTGCAGACAGTAGGGAGGAGTGGCTGGGACAACTGGAAAGAGGTCGGTGGGCAGGCTGGGTGCTGCGGTGCCCATCAGCCTGATACCTCCACGCCAGGCAGCCAGCCCATGCTTCTTCACAAATTGTCCAGGTAGAACGGTTTCGACTCAGTCTGTGCGGGGTGGAGGGGGGCAACCAGCCAAGGCAGGTAAAGGCCAGGCTGGGCAGCAGGTGGAGGGGCTTTACTGTGATGCTTGTGACGTCGGATTCTCAGACTTGCTCTCCTGACTGGAGGGGGGCTTGCTGTTCCAGGGGCTGTTGGCGCCCAGCGCGGGAGAGTTGTTGAAGCTGTCCTCGTCGTCAATGCCGTTGGCAGCGTCGAACTGTGTGTTCTCCAACCGTGTGATAAGGCGCTCGTCCTCATCGCCAAACTCCCCACCCATCAGGGTTGGTTCGCCCACCACCATCACATCCTGAGGAGGGAAGAGGGTCCCGAAACATAATCGAGGTGGAGACTGCCCTGACCTACTCCACAATGCCCGGGGGAGCCAACCGCCACGGAAATCAAGGGCCGCCTGCCTTTCACTGCTCGGGATGGAAGGCCCAGATTGCTTTGCAGCCATTTGGCTGGCTCTGTCCCTCCTCAAGTCCTGTCCCTATTCCTTACTTGGAACTAGAGATGTGAAAGCCTGGAAAAAATGAAAAAAAATGGGCGAAATGTTTTTTTTTTCTCCCCCCACCATTTCCCCCCCTCAATTTTTTAAAATGATTTTGGAATAGTTTATTCTATTATTATAAAATGTTTAAGACAAGATATTCATATATTTAGGGCTCTAAACTCACTTTGGAAAGCTATGTAAGACTGTAATGTAAAACTGTGAACAGTTTCAGATCCTTTGAATTCCTGATTTTGGTTTCCTTCTTTTAGTTCAGTGGTTCTCAACCTGTGAGTCCCAAGGTATTTTGGCCAAAATTCCCAGAAATCCCAGCCAGTTTACCAGATGTTCTGGGAGTTGAAGGCCAAAATATCTGGGGACCCACAGGTTGAGAATCTATAGGATTTAGAGAAGGAATAAGATAAGAGCTGGCTCTGGCATCACAGGATCCAGATCAATCTTCTAAATGGTTGGACTAAAATAAACTTTAGATCTGGTTATTCTGTGGAATAGGTGTTGAGGGGATGTATCTCTTGGTGGATCCCTGGCTGATCCATAACAAACTGTCAAGAATTTCCGATTCTTACTTCTCTAACTAAAGCATCAGACCAAATGCTTTCTTATGCCTATACTAGGCTGTTAAAAACGATGGGGACAAGTAAGAATAGGATTTTTCTGGCACTAATCACAAACTTCCAGGCTAACGATATGCTTAGAGCAGGCACGAGCAAACTTGGGCCCTCCAGGTGTTTTGGACTTCAACTCCCACAAGTCCAAAACACCTGGAGGGCCCAAATTTCCCTATGCTTGGCTTAGAGGCATTCTTGCTCCTTAAATTTTTGGCATATCTTCACCTACCTGAGCCACTATTTTGCACCTGGCTAGGACTGGAAGATCTCAATATTTGCAGTTGCTGCTGGAAGCCGCAACTGCCTTGCCATGATGTCCGGTCCCAGGCAGGTGCCGGGCTCACCTTTACGAGGAAAGAGAGAATGAAAAGGGGATGCTTACAGGTACCTGACTGGAGAGGGCGAAGGTGCTGGCTGGGCTCTTCTTCTTGCTGTTGCTGTTGTTGGTGTTGCCTCCCCCAGAGCTCATGGTGCTGCCGCCTGACATCTTTCTTTTCCGGCGCTTGCTAGGCTGCTGACGAGCAGGTTCAGCTGCAAAGGAGTTGTCAAAAAGAATGTCAGTCAGACATCCCAAACACATTGGAAGAGTCTAGTCTTTCCTCGTTACTCCAAAAGCCAGACCATAACTTAGAATCATAGAATCATAAAGTTGGAAGAGACCTCATGGGCCATCCAGTCCAACCCCCTGCCAAGAAGCAGGAATATTGCATTCAAATCACCCCTGACAGATGGCCATCCAGCCTCTGTTTAAAAGCTTCCAAAGAAGGAGCCTCCACCACATTCCGGGGCAGAGAGTTCCACTGCTGAACAGCTCTCACAGTCAGGAAGTTCTTCCTAACTTGACATTCAAGAGGATCACGCTGCAAGTTTCCCCAAATCCTGCTTCACATTTCTCACCAACCTACATGTCCCTCATTAGGGGTTTCATTTGTCCATCCTTTAAAAGTTCTTAAAAGCCAGGAGTTCTGGCCAGCCACAGGAGATGCAAATGCGAGATACTCCACTTAGGCAGAAAAATTGAAATGAAAATAAACAGAATGGGGAACGCCTGACTCGACAGCAGTACGTGCAAAAAAGATCTTGCGAGTCCTCATGGACAACAAGTTGAACATGAGCTAACAATGTGATGTGGCAGCTAAAAAGGCCAATGGGATTTTTGTCAGAAATATTAAATATTACCTAGATATTTTTTATTACAAAAGTGCGAGTCAAGCACTGAAAGAGTTAGTAGGCCAAAACCTGTTAAAAGTCAGTGGGCCAAAGCTAGCGTCGTCCTGAAGAGAGTGAGTAGGCCGATGTCTGTTAGAGTCAGTGGGCCAAAGCTAGTGTCGCCCTGGAGAGTGTGAGGTAAACCTCTGCATGAGAGAAGCCTCAAGTGTGAAGCTCCAATGTGAAGGATGAACTTTATTTGTGTTAGGGAAACCTAGTTCTTGTAAACAGTACAACCATATTATTTTACAACAAGCCTCCTATGGAAGAGATAACATTGGTCTGTGTGTTTTTTGTTCTTTTTATCACTTTGGGCAACTGGTGCTGAGTCGCGCTGCTGCTAATAAGTTACTCTGCTGTACATTTATGAGGAGGGTCTTTTGTTAATAACCCCACTGGCCCAACAATTTTGCCCAGCATAAATTGGAGTATCGTGTCTAGATCAAGGGAAGTCATGCTACCCCTCTACTTTGCCTTGGTCAGACCACACCTGGAATATCGTGTCCTATTCTGGGCACCGCATTTGAAGGGAGATGTTGACAAGCTGGAATATGTCCAGAGGAGGATGACTAAAATGATCAAGTCTAGAGAACAAGCCCTATGAGGAGTGGCTTAAAGAGCTGGGCATGTTTAGCCTGAAGAAGAGAAGGCTGAGAGGAGACATGATGGCCTTGAATAAATATATGATGGAAGTCACAAGGAAGAGGGAGCAAGCTTGTTTTCTGCTGCCCTGGAGACTAGAACAATAGCTTCAAATTACAGGAAAGGAGATTCCACCTGAACATTAGGAAGAACTTCCTAACTGTGAGAAATGTTCAGCAGTGGAACTCTCTGCCCTAGACTTTGTGGAGGCTCCTTCTTTGGAGGCTTTTAAGCAGAAGCTGGATGGCCATCTGTCGGGGTGCTTTGAATGAGATGTTTCTGAATCTTGGCAGGGGATTGGACTGGATGGCCCACAAGATCTCTTCCAACTCTATGATTCTATGAAATTCTCCTTAGATGGTGCATTCACTTGAAGCACAAGGTCCCAGCACCATCTAGTGGACCCCATGGGAAGCACATCAAAGCCACAGAATATGTCACTAACATATCAGCCTGGAGGACACTCACCAGGTGGTGCCACCATGCGCTGCCACTTCTGGAAGAGGCATGTCTTGAGGCAATCCCGAGGACTGAGGCTGTAGGTCTTATGCCGTGACATCAGTTCCTGCATTGGTTCTAGGATTACGCAAAGCTGAGAAGAGAAAAAAGAAGGGAGGGAGAGGATTACATCCTGAAGCAAAGGACAACCTTAGACAAATCTGCAGTCAGGTGTGGCTCCTACAGACCTAGAGATTTTGCACCTTGGGCAATTAACTGAAGAGTCAAACAAGAACATGTGGCACCAGCAAATAATGTGGATCATTCCCATTTTTAAATTCAGCATTACTTTCTGGGATGACAATTCCTTGAGTCGCAAAGTGTGACAAGTAGAGAATTTTGCAATTTACGGGCCCTTTCTGGGAGGTGTTAACTGGCCCTGATTTATTCCTGTCTGGAATTCCCTTGTTTTTTAAATTTTGCTATATATTTACTGTCCTGATTTTAGAGTTTTTTTAATACTGGTAACTAGATTTTGTTAATCAATGCCTGATTTTTCTGCATCCCAGCTCAGACTAATGCACTTCAAAGGAGGGCAGATATGAAGTAAACAACAAAGACAATACTATGAATTTGTTGTACTCTTTACAAGTGCAGTTTCCTATAGAACATTTGTCTAAAAGGGTTTTGTTAGGCACTTTCATAGAATTATGGATATATAACTTCGCTGAAAGCATGGAATTTGGAGTAATTTTCAAGATATAGCCATACAGAACCGTTTTTCAAATTCTGGCTAGGTAATATACATCTGAAAAGGACCAGTTAAGAAGAATGTGTTTGCTTTTATACAGTAGAGCCTCGCTTTGTTTATCCACCATTCCATATTTTCCAATGTGCCTTGGCTGCTTCTGGCTCGGAAAAATAAAAACAAGGCTCTTCCTCTTCCTCAGAGAATTGCAACGAGGGTCCTGGGGCTACCTTCCCTCCCTTCCTTCCTCTCTTCCTTCTCTGGATCCTGCTCCAGACTCCACTTCCCTTCTTGCTGTCTCTCCTTTCTGGGGCTTTGCATTCAGCCCAGGCAAGGCTTTGGGGAAGTGGCCTCCGCTGGGTAAAGGGGAAGCCCCACCGAGGCTGCCCACTGCCCTGGCTACTCTTCTGGCCTTGTTCTCTGGTGCTCTTGACCATCCTCGCCTCGCCTTGCCTTCCTCCCTGTATAGCCCCAGCTCTCCCTCCCTCCCTCTCCCTCTCTCTCTTTCTTTCTCTCAAGGAGTGGAAATGTTTGCTTTATGGAAGACAGAGTGAAAGAAAGAAAGAAAGAAAGAAAGAAAGAAAGAAAGAAAGAAAGAAAGAAAGATAGAAAGAAAACAAAAAGAAAGAGAGAGAGAGAGAGAAAGGATGGAGGGATGTGGGCACTGAAGGCAGGAGGCAAGGAAGAGGGGGTCGCGTGTGGGAGGAGCCTGGCGTTATGTCAAGAGCCTCCACTCTCTCTCTCTTTCCTTTGCTCGGTTTAATAGGCTTTTCCTTAATCCCTCCGTATTATTAGGGTTTTCGCTTATCCAATGTTCTGGAGGCCTGTTTATGTTGGATAAGTGAGACTCTACTGTATACAGATTAACAACTTGTCTCCTCTGAAGCTTGAGGCAACTTAGAAGATATCTAAAAAACCTATATACTCCCAATACATACACAGTAAAGACTAAGTAGAAGACACAAGCAATAAGTGGATTCCATAGTCTTGGGGCTACTTACTCGGAGGTAGTTGAGTGTGGAGTTTGAAAGTCCGCATCGGGTGATGTTCTTGGACAACTGGTCCAGCATCTGGGGATCTTGTGCCTGGAATGGGAAGGTTTCGTGGAAAATTGAAAAGTCAAAACAATAATATCTGGCACCCAAAAGTGCTATATGCATCAAATATTAAAAACCCTCCACACATTAAGGTGTGCTAGACAGGACCAGAACTGAGAAAAGTCGCATTTAATATAATAATAATAGTAATGATAATAATAATAATAACAACAATAATAATAATTTGAAAACAACAAACATTGACAAAATCACGATCTGTCAACTGCAAAAGTCCACCTTACTTGGATCTGCGTACATCATACGAAAATACATCACACAGTCCTAAACGCTTGGGAAGTGTTTGACTTGTGATTTTGTGATACGAAATCCAGCATATATATCTCATTTGCTGTGTCATACTGTGTTTTTGTATCAGTAAAATAATAGTAATAATAATAATCATCATCATCATCATCATTTTCAACTCACTTTATCTCTCTTAAAAAAGACCCAAATCAGATTGGGGACAGGGCAGGTGCCTCCCCAATCAATGCCTTTGCTAAATGAAGCATGTGAGAAAAGATGGGAGGGTTTTTATCTATGGATACTGGTCTGATTGCCTATCTATAAAATGTATGCCAGTTGCTGATGAACATGGGAAGAAGGTATAGCTGCATTCATGTCCAGCTGGCAGGCTTTCTACAGGCAACTGGTCAACTGCTACACTAAAAGATGGATTAGATATGCCTCCATTCTGATCCAGACATATCTTAGTTATGAAGTTAGTGTGTTCTGGGTATTCCCTTTTCTTAAAATATGGTACCAAGAGTACAAATGACGTAGAAAGAACAGCTAGTAGAGCAGCTCAACATGTTTAAGCAAATGATTCAGCCAAAGCTAGCAATATGCATGTGTGAAATAAAACACGTCGTTCAGGCAAGCCTTACATAAACAAACAGCTACACTTGGATCAGCTAGAACAGAATCCTGCTCTTTCCCAGCTGAAGTTTGTTTACTGCACTGTTTACTGCAGGCACATTGCTGTAACTTGATACTGGAAGACTGTCTTTCTCCAGCCCTTCTTTACTATTTTCCCAATAGTGGTGATGCTGCTAATTTAGCTCTTACTAATCATTATTACCAATCTTTTTAAATCAAATGTGTAACCTGGGAAGGTTTGACTATTTTTAACAATAAAAGGAATCAGGACTGGATAAATTAATTCAGGACTGTGGGCTAAATTTTGCCCTGTTGCAAGCCACACCCAGAAAACACAAACAACCTGGCAAAATCATACGAGAAAAGACCAGGCAACTACTTCCAGGCCTGATACAGTCGGCTTCCTGGCTCTTTAAACACAAAATTATCACTCCTGGATAAGCAAAACCCCATTCTCCATCACAACGTTTTTCATGGCCTTGGGGAGAGTTGGTGCTGGAAGGTCATAAAAAGCCCATACATTGAATAAAAGCCACATGTCTGACATTCAATTTGGGAATTTGAGATTCAAAATCCACTTCTGCATCCCTGGCTTAGGCCCAAAGAAACGTAGCTGAAAAAGGCCAGAGATGCAAAAAGCTGCAGTTTCTGGCAGTTCAACTCATCAACAGGAGACAAGCACAAGGCTGACATAATCACTTAAACCAAGTCGAGCAGACATCTATACACAGCACTGGACTTACATGCATAGCAAGGATGCTGCGGGGAATGAGCTCCCGGTGCTGCCGGATGCTGAAGTGCCACGTCTTTATCCTCATCATGTCATCGAACATGAACTCCAGGTAGAGACGGCCCTCCACACATACCTGTGCAAGTGAAAAGCAAACACGTGAGCACTCTCCACATTGTAGATCGGTGTTCCTAAGGGTTGGGACCCCTGGGGAGTCATGAGGGAGTTTCAGAAGGGTCACTAAAGACCATCAGAAAACATTTCTGATCTCTCCACCTGTCCTTCTCTTCCTTTTTGGAAACAGACAGCAAATCCTCCCACCAAAAGCCCTTCTCCGCTGTGATTTGCCTGCCTCTCAGCTGGCCTCTTAGCCAAGGAGAGGACTGTTTCTGAGACTCCAAGTGGGGAGGGGACAGCAGGCATGCTCAGCGCATGGCAGCATGATGCACATGTGTAGGCTAGGGAGAGCATACGAGGCTGGAAGGAGGCTCACACCAGTGAATTCCTTCAAGGCACGGTTCTGTGTTGTAAGTTTGGCCCAATTCTATCATTGGTGGGGTTCAGAGTGCGCTCTGATTGTAGGTGAACTACAAATCCCAGGAACTACAACTCCCAAATGTTTGGGGTCTATTTTCCCCAAACTCTACCAGAGTTCACATTAGGGAATTTAGAGTATTCATGCCAAATTTGGTCCAGTAAATGAAAATACATCCTGCATATAGATATTTACATTATGATTCATAACAGTAGCAAAATTACAGTTATGAAGTAGCAATAAAAATAATTTTATGGTTGGGGGTCACCACAACATGAGGTACTGTATTAAGGGGTCACAGCATTAGGAAATTTGAGAACCACTGGTGTAGATAAACAACCATGGGCTTCCATGGTTAGCTGCAACCAGAGCCTCTTAATCATCATCATCATCAACTTCTTCTTCTTCTTTATTTATATGCCATCCTATCTCCCCAAAGGGACTCAGGACTCTTCCCTCCAAGAAATGGGTTCCTTAAAGAGCTCCTGACGAAATGGCAAACTATTTGCATTTTCGATTCAAGGCAGGAAACTGCTGCAAAGTGGAACAGTGAGTCCAGTCTGCCGCTCTCTCTCACCTGGGTGAACATGGGTTTGCCATGTTGGGTGACCATGGTACACTGGTCACAGTCGAGAGAGACAAAGTTGTTGTGGAAGGATTCCTTAGGGTGTTTCAGGACATAGTACAGCTCAGTGGCACCTCCTTCGAAGATGCTGCGGAAGTAGCGGGGAATCAGGGTGCGGCCAATCGCTACACAGAGGGAAGAAAAGACAAACATCAGTGACTTTTCAGCCTTAATTCAGGACTTCATTCTTAGGGATAAGGCTTTTTCCCCAAGGGAGATCCCAAGCATCCAATGGAACTTTTGTAGGTCTAAAAGGAAATCACCACGAAGAGGAGACAAAATTAAAGATTCAAGGCTTGCTCTAGATTATGGGAGTCCTGAAGGAGAATGACTGTGGTGTTTCTCCTTGTGGCAAGCTTACTGTTCATTACGACGATGACAACGACAGCCGAGCCAAAGCCCATGTGTCTGGACTTCCTGGCCCCAGCATCTGCAGGCCATAATTGTCCACCTCTGCTCTAAATAGAGATGGCACACATTTTCATTCTGAAACAATTTGCCAGTCTTTTTGAATATGGAGGATAAAGAGGAGTGTGCTTGCTGAACAAACAAAAGGATCATGAGGCCCTCTTGATAGTACCGAGTGCTCTTGATGTCCACTTGGCAGACAGGCATCTCATTTAATGTGATGAAACCTAGTACATCAAATGCTCTTCCATTAGACCTCTGACATGCTCCAACTATTCATAGCCTTTGATACACTTCAATAACTTACTTATGCAAACCTTCTCTGTTCAGTCCACCCTGACATTTATTGCACCTCATAAAGAATGTATGCAAAATTGACTAAAATGCAAATTTTATGTTTTAGAAAAATCCACAGCTTCAAAGCTTTTGGATAAAATACATACACACACACACACACACACACAATTTGCAAATAAAATAAACAAATACAGTCTTGTTATAATCTTCCTGAGAACTGGTTTTTGGAAGAAACTTTTGGGTTTCTAATGAAGACGAGAATTTCAGTATCTGGCTTTTACTGCCTTTGTCCCCAATCCTGAGAAGGATTGTGCCTCTAGCTTCATCCACCCTCTCCCAAAATCATCTTAAATATCTCCATCTAGATCAGGCATCGACAAACTTTGGCCCTCCAAGTGTTTTGGACTTTAACTCCCACAAATTGTGGAAGTTGGTCCAAAATCCCTGGGGGGCAAAAGTTTGCCCACGCTTGAGCTAAATGCAGACTCTATGACTATGACAAAGTCACTTCTCCTGTATGGGTTTTAATAACTCTGCCTGATGAAGAAACCAATTAGCTTGAAAACTTATTTATTTGCAGTATTTATATTCTGCCCTTCTCATCCCGAAGGGGACTCAGGATGGATCACAGAACACATACACAACAAGCATTCAATGCCGTTAAACAGACAGGACAGACAACAGACAGAAGTATTATGTTGGCTTTGGAGCCCTGGAGGTTGTGCTCGATTCTGGCCACAAGAGGATACTGTCGCTCCACCCTTTATGAGAGGCACCCTCAAACTGCGGCCCTCCAGATGTTTGGGCCTTCAACTCCCAGAATTCCTGACAATTGAACAAGCTTGTTAGGGCTTCTGGAAGTTGAAGGCCCAAACAACTGGAGGGCCACAGTTTGAGGATGCCTGCTCTATAACTGAGACTTCCTTCTTCCTTCGATCGCAGACATAAAATAACTTCCTGCTTAAATGGTTCCTAATTTCTCTACTCACAGCTCACAGCTGTTTTTGAACTGTTTAGGTGGATAGCAAGCTGGGCTGAAGATCAAGTGCTCACCCCAACCCGGACTTCGAATTGCCAGCCTTTTGATTGGCAAGATGTACTGCTGCTGGTGATTAACCAGCTGTGCTAAAGCCTGGCCCTGTCAACATAATGTTACTTATACATTTTGGCTGTCCAAATAAAAAGTATCACTAAAATATATATATTAGATGTTGCCACATGGCCAACATAGCTATCCCTGAATGTACAAAATACATTATTTCAATTTCTGATAAACCTGGGACAAGGGTGCATTTCAATCAACTAGAAGTGATTCAAAATAGAAATCTGAGCAGGTTCCTGGTTTTGGATGTTGAAAGTGCAAGGAGAAAACATCAAGCAAACAAGATTTTTTTTCTTCAAACAATTCAAACAAGACCAATTTTCAATTGCCCAAAATGACCTCAAGTTTCAGCTAGAAAACCTATGGCCACTTAGCAATATCATACTAGCTAAATGTCCATTGAGAGGCAACTGGGCTCCACCAGAGCTACTATTGGACACTGTGGGGTGCAAAACAAAAAGCTGGTTTTTATAGCCCTGCAAGTAGTGTATCTGAGATGGAAAGTTACATGACTCTCCAGATGTTGTTACAATCCTGTCAATTCTACCCAGCAATGATGAGGGATTTTGGACGTTGAGGTCTGGGAAATCTGGTGGGCTGGCATTCCCAATTCTTGGGAACAATCATTATCCCTCAATGTCTTTACAATGTACCAGGTTCTTCTGGATCCTCTCTTCATGAATGCAACAAAGTCAAGTGGCTCTGATAAAGTTATAATCACTGCATTCCAGATCCCAATGTTGCAGCCAGCAGTGGAAGGAGGGACTACTCTATATGGATTAACTCAAGAGAAACTGGATATCGTTTAGGTATGCAACTGAACCCTAATCCCTTTACAGCATCACTTTTCAACATCACTTTTTCTATGTGAAAATTGCCTCCTGAGCCTATGATAGCAGATAATATCAACCGCCCCAGCCAGAGACTCACTGTATCTCTTTGGTCCATCTTCCAGACAGAAGGTGATTGTTAACATGGCGTCATCTTCAAAGAACTCAGTGGTGAAGGCATCCCACCACAGATTGTCACATTCCTGTAGGCAAAGAGGAGGAGCATTATCTACGAGGATAGGAAAAGTTTCAAAGAGGCAGCTAGACTGTGATTTTAATTGATATTTTAATGTTTATGTTTAATTGGTTCAGATTTTAATGCATTTATTTATTTATCAATATGTATATGTATATGTGGCATTGAACTGTTGCCATTGTAAGGCCGCCCTGAGTCCTCTTCGGGGTGATAAGTGTGGTAAATAAAATAAAATAAATAAACAGACTTCAATTGCATCAGGGACTGACTTGAAGAAGGTTCTGTTAATGCCCTAGACTTCCTTTCCCTCCCCAGCTAGGGTGACTGAACCTCCATCTTTGAAACCACTGAAGCTATCCCAGAAAACTGTACCTCTGTCCAGTTTTGCAGCCGCTTATTGAGCTCAAATATTCTGTAGTCAGTCTGGTTGCCATACGGTGTGTGCCTCCTACCAATAAGGAATAAGAAAATAAAGTTTAAGCATGTAGTTGTTTTTGTTATTAATATTTCACAGACATTTTTTTAATCCCAAATCTAAAATATTCCTGGTTCCAAGCATTTGTGAAAGGGGTACTCAACCTGTAGTATAGCATCATAAAACAATAGATCACATCATGCAATAGAGAGATAGCCAAGAACAAGCAAAACTGGCTGAAAAATAACCACTCTAAAATGCCTGTGTAATTTTGTTTCGACCTTGTATAGAAAGGATTGGCACAATGGCACTAGTTATATTTCTACAGGGAGAGAATTCTTAAGTTTAAAAAAAGGCACAAAGTTCTAAAGATGTGAGTGATATTGTGTCTATAGTAAAGGTAAAGGTTTCTTATGACATTAAGCGTAGTTGTGTCTGACTCTGGGGGGTCGTGCTCATCTCCATTTCCAGGCCGAAGACCTTGGAGGTTGTCCATAGACACCTCCAAGGTCATGTGGCCAGCATGACTGCATGGAGCGCCCTTACCTTCCTGCAGAAGTGGTACCTATTGATTTACTCACATCTGCGTATTTTCGAACTGCTAGGTTGGCAAAAGCTGGGCCTAACAACAGGAGCTCACCCTGCTCCCCAGATTCAAACCGCCAACCTTTTGGTCAGCAAGTTCAGCAGCTCAGCGGTTTAAACGGCTGCACCACCATCTATATTGATCCCAACATTGCTCCTTATCCAATCTACCCTTGAAAAGGTTCATATGATACAGTGGGTAGAAAGTTAGACACAGAAATGGGGAAACCTGAACTTTTGTCCCTACACAGTCATTAACTCGCTGGATAATCCTTAGTGGGGGAGGGGGGGTGTCTTACGTTCCTATTCTGAATATTAGCAAAATGGGAAATACACATTTACAAGTGTTTACTGCATTCATATATATATATATATATATATATATATATATATATATATATATATATATATTTTAATGGTCTTCCTTGAGTGCAGATACACTTAAGATTTCAGCTGTGGTAAACCAGTCTGAACGCAGATTCACTAACCAAAAACAAATGTCTTGCAGCTGCCCAAACTGCTGCCAGTACACTTGCAAAGTTGCACCTGTCTTTACCCTAGCTAATGCAAATGAACAAAAGGAATAGTGATGAAAACTCTTACCCAATTCCAGGCTCCAGGTATGTTGGTGGATACATAGGTGTTGGTCTGCCAAGAAATAAGACAGTAGAAGATGGATTAACCAAGGTCCTGCCCAAATCAGTTCATTATTATGCAAAGAGACAGCCAGAGAGATAATTTGGAAGAGGACAGAGAAGTCTCTGGACTTCTTTAAAATCTTTTTATTGTTTCCATTATGTGCTTAAACTACCACAAATAATCACATGTAAGTCAATCTCACGTATGAGTCAAGAGCAGCTTTGGAGGTCAAAATTATGGATATTGATATGATCCACAGATAACTCAAAGGTCATTCCACAGAGAGGGAAAGGTGCCAGAACTGCCTCAGGGAGCCAGTTGCCTTTAACTGCTGTTGCCATTTTCCTATCCAAGCATACAAGAAGGCCTTTCCCTGGTCTACTCAGAGAAGATGACTGCCCCCCCCCCCCATAGGTAAAGGGAAATGATTCCCCTTGACATTAAGGAGGGAGAGGCTTCCGTTAACCGGGGAGCCCCCATAGAAGTCGTGGTGGGGAGGGGGAGATACGGGAAAGGGAGACCTTTAATTCGGCCTAGGGATCGTGTAACAACATTAGTAATTCCAAAGCGGTCTCCTGATATGGTAAACTGGTGTAACCAGGATGGCGGTCCCTCTGGATTGAAGGTGGTGCTGTTGAACGCCAGATCTGTCAATGGAAAAACAACTTTCATCCAAGATTAATCCTGGATGAACGGGCAGATCTGGCGTGCATCACAGAGACCTGGCTGGACGAAGCGGGAGGTGTAAATTTGACCCAGCTTTGTCCACCTGGGTTCTCTGTGCAGCACCAACCGAGATCCGGAGGGCGGGGAGGCGGAGTTGCAGTGGTCTATAGAGATTCCATTCTTCTGACCAGGGCCCCCATCCCGCAGTCAACAAATTTTGAATGCGTCCACCTGAGGGTGGGTGACCGGGACAGATTAGGGATTCTGTTAGTGTACCGTCCACCTCGCTGCACTACAGTCTCCCTACCTGAGCTAGCAGGGGTGGTCTCGGACCTGGCATTGGAGTCCCAACGGCTACTTGTGCTGGGGGACTTCAATGTCCACGCCGAGACCGCCTTATCGGGAGCGGCTCAGGACTTCATGTCCACCATGGCAACCATGGGGCTGTCCCAACAGGTATCTGGCCCCACCCACAGTGCTGGACATACATTGGACTTGGTTTTCTGTCAGGGATGGGAGGAAGGTGGCGGTATTGAGGAGTTAGCCATCTCTCCGTTGCCATGGACCGACCACCACCTGGTCAGCTTTAGACTCACTGCACCCCCTAACCTCCGCAGAGGTGGAGGACCTATTAAACTGGTCCGCCCCAGGAGGCTTATGGATCCGGATGGATTCCTGATGGCTCTTGGGGAATTTCCCGCCACCTCGGTTGGTGATCCTGTTGATGCCCTGGTCGCTCTCTGGAATGGGGAGATGACTAGGGCAATAGACACGATCGCTCCAGAACGTCCCCTCTCAAGTAGCCGAGCTAAACCAGCTCCTTGGTTTACGGAGGAGCTGGCAGCGTTGAAGCGAAAGAAGAGGGAACTAGAGAGCGTGTGGCGTTCGGATCCGAGCGAGCCAAATCGAACACGGTTTGTGTCCTTTTTAAGGGCATATGCCGCGGCAATAAAAGCCGCAAAGAAAACTTTCTTTGCGGCCACTATTGCGTCTGCAAAGAACCGTCCGGCTGAACTGTTTCGAGTTGTCAGAGGCCTGTTAAAACCCACCATTCAGGATGGGAGCCCTGATGACTCGGCAGCTCGCTGTGAAGCCTTTGCTCAGTTCTTTGCAGACAAAGTCGCTTCTGATCCGCTCTGGACTGGACACCATATTAACGGCAGTCTCTGAGGATGTAACACGAGCATCTGCTTGTCCGGTTTTGATGGATTCATTTCAATTGGTTCAATCCGAGGATGTGGACAAGGTGCTTGGAGGAATGAGAGCTACCACATGCATCCTAGACCCCTGCCCATCCTGGCTTCTAAAGGAGGCCAGAGGGGGATTGGCCGAGTGGGTGAAGGTGGTGGTTAATGCCTCCCTTCGGGAGGCAAAATTCCAGCCAGCTTAAAGCAAGCTGTGATAAAACCGCTGTTGAAGAAACCATCACTGGACCCCACTCAATTTGTCAACTATCGGCCTGTTTCCAATCTCCCCTTCTTGGGCAAAGTCATGGAATGTGTGGTGGCCTCACAACTCCAGGCATTCTTGGTAGACACGGATTATCTGGATCCGGCACAGTCTGGCTTTAGGCCGGGGCATGGTACCGAGACAGCCTTGGTCGCCTTAGTGGATGATCTGCGTCGGGAGCTCGACAGGGGGAGTGTGTCCCTGTTGGTGCTGCTCGACCTCTCAGCGGCCTTCGATACCGTCGACCACGGTATCCTTCTGGGACGCCTCGCGGATGGGTCTTGGAGGTACTGTTCTGCAGTGGCTCCGCTCATTCCTCGAGGGTCGGTCTCAGAAGGTGTTACTGGGAGACTCCTGTTCAACCCCACAACCTTTGTTTTGGGGGTTCCACAGGGCTCTATACTGTCCCCCATGCTGTTTAATATCTACATGAAGCCGCTGGGTGAGATCATCCGGAGTTTCGGGGTGCGGTGTCATCTGTACGCAGATGATGTCCAACTCTGTCACTCCTTTCCACCTGCTACTAAGGAGGCTGTCGAGGTCCTGAACCGGTGCTTGGCCGCTGTGACGGTCTGGATGGGGGCGAACAAATTGAAATTGAATCCAGACAAGACAGAGGTGCTCCTGGTCAGTCGCAAGGCCGAACAGGGTATAGGGTTACAGCCTGTGTTAGACGGGGTCGCACTCCCCCTGAAGACACAGGTTCGCAGTTTGGGTGTGATCTTGGACTCATCGCTGAGCCTGGAACCCCAGGTTTCGGTGGTGACCAGGGGAGCCTTCGCACAGTTAAAACTTGTGCGCCAACTGCGGCCGTACCTTGGGAAGTCGGACTTGGCCATGGTAGTCCACGCTCTGGTTACATCCCGCCTTGATTACTGCAACGCTCTCTACGTGGGGCTGCCTTTGAAGACGGTCCGGAAGCTCCAATTAGTCCAACGGGCGGCAGCCATGATACTAACAGGAGCGGAGCGCAGGGAGCATACAACTCCTCTGCTGCACCAGCTCCACTGGCTGCCGATTTGCTACCGGGCTCAATTCAAAGTGCTGGCATTGGCCTTTAAAGCCCTAAACGGTTCTGGCCCAACATATCTATCCGAACGTATCTCAGCCTATCAGCCCACCAGGACCCTAAGATCTTCTGGAGAGTCCCTGCTCTCTGTCCCTCCGGCTTCAGAAGTGCGGCTGGCGGGAACGAGAGACAGGGCCTTCTCTGTGGTGGCCCCTCGGCTTTGGAATGCCCTCCCTATAGAGATAAGATCAGCTTCCTCGCTGATGGTATTTCGGAAAAAACTGAAGACATGGATGTTTGAACAAGCATTCGGTTAATCCGGTGCGATGGAGTTGATGATCAAGGACTGGTAATCATAGACGACGAAATTGGATTATGATTTTAACTAAGAGATGCATTGGTCTGTATTGGTGGCCCGATACTGTGTACTGTATATGTGTTTTATGATTTTAAATTGAATATTGTTGTTTTTAAGTGTTGTAAACCGCAATGAGTCGCCGTTTTAGGCTGAGATATTAGCGGTATACAAATGCATTAATAAATAAATAAATAAATAAATAAATAAATAAAGTATAGTAGTGTCCGACTCTGGGTGGTGATGCTCACCTCCATTTCTAAGCCAAAGAGCCGCTGTTGTCTGTAGATGCCTCCAAAGTCATATGGCTGGCATGACTACATGGAGCGCCATTACCTTCCCGCCAAAGTGGTACCTATTGATCTACAAACATTTGCATGTTTTCAAACTGCTAGGTTAGCAGAAGCTGGGGCTAACAGCAGGAACTCATGCGCTCCCTGGATTCAAATCGCTGACCTTTCAGTCAGCAAGTTCAGCAGCTCAACAGTTTAATCTACTTCACCACCTCTCTCTATATACACACACGCACACACAGAGAGAGATATACATATAAAGGTACGATATTAAATTATTTTAAAAAGTAATGATCCTCTTCTCTAAATAGAGCAGTGAAAGGCAAGAACCTAAAAGAAGCACTGACCACCATGGTGCAACTTCTGGCCTTCTTGAATACATGGACAAGACAATTGTGATAGCCTCAAAAGAGCGTTGAGAGAGTAGATGACATCATTGCTTCTTTTAGGTTCTCCCATGATAGATTCAGCTCTTGCCTGTTACCACTCTACTTAGAAAAAGGGATAATTCCTTTTTTGATACCCCATACAGTATCTCTCCAGTGTTTCCTTGCATCCACTTCGTATCAAAAAGTATGTTAACTTTTCAAATAAGAATTAAGGAACCCATGGGTTTTGGTAGAGGGTTGGACTAGATGACCCTTGAGGTCTCTTCCAACTCAATGATTCTATGGATAGTTGACCTTGTTTTCTGGGAATGGTTTTTTTAAAAAAACAAAAACTTATACAGTATCTCTTAATTTTAAATATCTCAACTTCGTCTGGTCTTTATTTTCTTTCCTTCTCTCCTCATATGCTCTGCTTACCATACTGTGCCCATGTAAAACTAATGGGGAAATGCATGGCTAGTTGTGGCTGCCAGCCAAGTGTGGGCATTTGCAAAGCCAGCAGTGGATTGGGAATTGGACTCTCCTCCCCACTCTGTCTCAATGACAAATTCTTAGCTTTATCCCATCAGTTCCTGACTTGCAAAATTTTTGCTTCTTCCCGCTCTCTAGTGGTGTAGCTGGTTAAACTACTGAGCTGCTGAACTTATTGAGCAAAAGGTTGGCAGTTTAAATCCGGGGAGTGGGGGTGAGCACCTGCTGTTAGCCCCAGCTTCTGCCGAACTAGCAGTTCAAAAACATGCAAATGTGAGTAGATCAATAGGTACCACTTCAGCAGGAAGGTAATGGCGCTCCATGTAATCATGCCAGCCACATGACCTTGGAGGTGTATGCTGACAACGCCAGCTCCATTTAGAAATGGAGATGAGCACCATCCCGCAGTGTCAGACATGACTGGACTTAATGTCAGGAGAAACCTTTACCTTTACTTTCTCACAAACACATTCTGGTCCATATCTGAACACAAGAAATTTGAAAGTCTACCTCTTACCCACACTGATACAAGACATCCCATTGCTCCCTAGTGCCTGTATCTCTAGCATTGGGATAGCTCATCACTCTTCTAGACAGAACAGAGGCTGCAAAATCAGTTGGAAATAAGGGCTAAGGGTTTAAGGGCAGTATTCAGTATTCTGCATGTTGAGCTTCACTCATTTGATTTGGGAAAAGGCCAGCCTGCAAATCTACAAATGAATAGTAATAGAAAATGGGATTGGCTATCTTTTGGAGGGGAGAAGCAGGGAACACCCCACAAAGGACAAGCCCCACGAGGAGCGGCTTAAAGAGCTGGGCATGTTTAGCCTGCAGAAGAGAAGGCTGAGAGGAGACATGATGGTAGCCATGTATAAATATGTGCGGGGAAGTTATAGGGAGGAGGGAGCAGACTTGTTTTCTGCTACCCTGGAGACTAGGATGCAGAACAACAGCTCCAAACTATAGAAAATGAGATTCCACCTGAACATTAGGAAGAACTTCCTCACTTCAGAGCCGTTCAGCAGTGGAACTCTTTCCCCCGGAGTGTGGTAGATGCGCCTTCTTTGGAGGCTTTCAAACAAAGGCTGGATTACCATCTGTTGGGGGTGATTTGAATGCAATGTTCCTGCTTCTTGGCAAGAAGTTGGACTGGATGGCCCACATTGTCTCTTCCAACTCTATAATACTAAGTTGTAACACAAAAGAGCCTCTCACTCACTTTGCATATTGCGAGTCTCTTGCAGTGTTGATTGTATGTGTTTTGTATTCCTTGTGATTTTCTTACTTTTTTGTAATTGTGTAAAGGTTAATATAAAGGAAAGCTTACCCCACATCTCGATCCAGCATAGTGCCTGGGTGGAAAGGGGGGAAGGCGTTGCCGTTTGGGGGCTCCTTTGGAGAGTACAGCTTGAATGACTTAGAGGAACAGCCTAAGACAAAAAGAGAGGGAAAAAGGATGATGGCACAAATAAATAAAGGCAACTTGTTCAGTAGTAAGGCCATAAGAATGACATATCTATCTTATCTTCATGATGTTACAGTTCTTTCTGCTTCTACCCTGCTACCATATAACTCATGACTCAACCCCTTCTGACAAAAGAAATGCCGTAATGCAATATGTTACATTAGGCAGAACACAGATATAAAGGAAAGATGAACTGGTTGCGTTCTTTCCACACTGTGATCACTGGTAAACGGAAGCATAAGGTTCCCCAACCTAGGAAAACACAGTAGAGCATTACAGCAGCTGGACTTTCTTCTACGCTTCCAGAAGCCAAAAGCAGAAAAAGGCACAACAATAGCTCTCATAACTACTGCATTGTATGGTTCTCCAGCAAAGGAAACAGAGCAAAAGGCCGTGCGGATGTGTGTGTTCCTTCCTTCTGATGCAAAGCCCCAGAGAGGAGGTCAAGAGCTTTTCAAAGTACAATGCTATGCCTGGCTCAACTGTGGGAACATCACAAAACACAACAGTAGGTTTAAATCCCACTGGGTTTGGGAGGAGAAGAGGAGGGTTCTGGGGAGACTAACCACTGTCCAACCCAAGGCTACATTTTCAAGTTAGAGAAAAGAGTCTAAGGCTGGAGGAAACTGCTATTAGTTAAACCAATGCAAAAAAAGGCTGGCGGAGGAGGCAGGCATGTTCTTCCTTGAACTAACACTTGCAAGGTTGTGGTACTATATTCAGAGTAAATGATGAATCTGCCACATCTTCTTAGACCAGGGAGGGGCAACTGTGCCACGTACACACTAGGCCATTAAATACTAATCAAGGTGGCCAATTAAAACATTCACACCTACTTCCAAAGACAAGAGTTCTTTCTCCCACTCTGGACATCCCAGAGATACATCAACTCCACTTGCCTAGTTTCCAACAGACCCCTCAACCTCTGAGGATGCCTGCCATAGATGCAGGCAAAACGTCAGGAGAGAATGCTTCTGGAACATGGCCATACAGCCCAAAAAACTACAGAAAGCCAATGATTCTGGCCATGAAAGCCTTCAACAACACATTGGACACGGGACAGTTTCCATCACCATGCAAACCAAGTAAGTGGCATGGGCATGTTTTTCTTCAGACCCAGAAGTGCTGTTTCAGCCAATTTCTGAGGGTTTTGGAATGGAGGGAAGCAATACCATATTTATTCAGGGTCATTTTGCGACTGCGAATTCCATTTCATTCTGTGTGTGACTCCATTTATTGACTACTGAGTTGAATGATTGATGGAAGATCCCAGAGCAAGAATCTTGAGCTCAGGGAGCAAATGTGGTCACTATTCAGTGTGGAAGCATTCCCTGTTGTCAGAGAACAAAAATGTATAAATCCCCAAATCAATGCCAAATTGTTTTGTGTGGAGAGATACAATAGTAATAGTAGCAGAGTCCCTGAGAAAGGATGAACACTTTGATCAGTATTGGTGGGTGCTACCGTACTACTATTGTGATTTTTTTAAAGCTTGCAGGTCCTTTGACAGCTTGGTATATAGTATGGTGCTATAGATAGTTTACTGCTTGGAAAAGTCTTGGCATATGCAAACTTGTATGGGTAATTGGCTCTTCATGTAAAACATCAGTATCAAGAGGTTGTTTTACAATCCCCGTCCCCTTAGCACAGCAGGCTAAACCGCTGTGCTACAGAAAAATCCTGCCGATCAAAAGGTCAGAAGTTCGATCCCAGATCGAGGTGAGCATCTGCCTTTAGCCCCAGCTCACCAGTGCACCTAGCAGGTCAAAAGCAGAAATGCGAGAAGATAATAAGGTACTGCTTTCAGCGAGTAGGTAATAAGGCGCTTTTTAGGACATTGATGGATTGGAGGAAAGCTTCTACGCATGGAAGATGGAGCAACAGCACCCCCCTCCCCTGTGGTTGGAATTAAGCACAGCCTCCAAGATGTCAGAAATAAGATGGGAACAACTGCCTTTACCTCTGTTTTGTGTTTTTCTGTTATTGTTAAGTGCATAATATGCCACTGAATGTTTGCCATATGTGTGCATTCTGTAAGCCACTCTGAGTCCCCTTCAGGATGAGAAGGGTAGGATATAAATACTGTAAATACATAAATTGTCATATATGTTTCACAGTTGATGGTGGTTGGTGATGGAAGGGGTTAATATAAGTCTTAGTTCTAAAGGGCTGAGTAATCTGTAAGTAAGAGTGTACGGCTGAAAGCAACTAAGGGTGGAGGCAGGCAAGGGATAGGTTGCAGCTTTTACTGTTTTTTACTAGTTATAAGGAGCTAGCCTGGAGGCTGATCTCGGGAGAAGAATATTTGTCTTATTTCGGTGGTGGATGCTGCTGGTTTTCCCCCCCAAGTTTTTGGATTTTCGGTATCCTGACCTGTTGCCTGAATTCTTGGAACTTTGGAACCTCGGATCTCTGGACAGGCTTTTGACTACAGTATAGATTCTTGATCCTAAGACTTTACTCATTGAACTCTTGGAGTTTGACCACTGGACTGAACCCTTTGACTCTTGAACCTGCATCAGCATTTGCTATCAGTCTTTGTTTTATATTCTGTGCGTGAGTGCTATCTTTATGTTTTACATTTGGACTATGAAAACAGCCAGAAAGTAAGTGCTGCTTTAACTAAACAGACACAAGCTGGGTGTTTGTTTTGGTTCATCTCTGCCTGCATACTGGAAGAGCCCTGGCAACATGACATAAATAAATACATTTCCTTATAATAAGAATCAAAGAAAGCAAAATCTTAGGACTGATCTAGAATTTTTGATTAATTCTCTTCATACATTCTGTCCCTTTCACATAATGCACTACAAATAGGGAAAAGGTTGGCTAGATATGGTGGCTCCCATCCAGTTGGACCCAAATACAGCTGGGTTTCAACTCCTAGAGTCTCAGCCAACAGGGCCAGTAACAGCCTCAGGCCCTTTCCTTTTCCTTTTCATGAGAGTTGTAGGCTAACAGCATCTGGAGAGAATCAAATGCTGGGAACCACTTGATTAAAACGTCTCTTTCTGCAGTAATAGTTTTATGAGGCTTTTATATGGAGCAAAGTTTTTAAAAATGTATCCCTGGTCTGCAATTTGGAACAGAACATTCCTTCCTTTCATCTCAAGATTATACAAATTAATTCTCTAGAAATGCTTGTCATTAGAAAATCAGGTACAAACATTTCCATCATTATCACAAACAACAGCTGGATTATTGTTCCCCAATTTACTGTCTGATACATCTGGAGAGCATCAATTCCTATCATCCTCAATCAATAGAGTCACTGGGGACGCTGGTTGTGGGTGAAGGGACATGTGATATCCCCAGAGTCGGACACGACTAGACTTAATGTCAAGGGGAAACATTTACCTTTACTTTTTAACTATCAGGATAGGAAAGATTTTCTAGACACTCAGCAGTCATTTTGAGATGTAGGGAAAGATCTTAAAAGTCCTATCTTCTAAGAAGGAAAGAATAGCTCCTTCCCATTTACGTACTCCCAGAAATCTGCCACAAAAGTCCTTCATCTGGTAAATGTAGGCAGTTACAAGCGGTGAAGCAAATGGTGAGAACCTCTTTTATCATCATATCAAAGCATTCTGAGTATTTCACATCCTTCCTGGTACAGCGTAAGGTTATTAGTTCTATTATATGCTGGCGGAGAAAGGGGACCTGGCATATGACTCATGCAAGGTCATACGCAGAGTCACAGGAAGTGTGGGTTGAAATTTAGTTACATTTCCAAGTTACTTTCTCCTGTCTAATCTCCCCCCAGCCCATATAGAACATTACACAACAACTTGAGCTAAATAATTTTTTGGATCTAACTGAGGGCACTCCAAGGGGAGAATAAAACTAAAAATATAGTAACTATAGAATAGGTTTGGACAACTATCAGATGTTAGGGCTGGCATGGGCAAACTTTGGCCCTCCAGGTGTTTTGGACTTCAACTTAACCTTAAGCAGCTGAGGGGGGAAAGTAAGGGGCCTGAGGCTGTTAGGAATGGTGGGAGTTAAAGTCCAAAACACCTGGAGGGCCAAAGTTTGCCCATGACTGGGTTAGGAAGTCAAACTGGTTCCCCAAGGAGACCTTGGTACAGCCTTTCTTAAATAAAACTCAAAACTTTTTTTTTCTCAATGAGATGTTGCTAGAGATGAGGGAGCATTTTTATCATCCCTTCAGAATAGGACGTATTTATTATAACAGGAAATTACCTTTTTTTTAACAACAGGAAGCAAACCAGAAATGACCTAAAAGTCACTTCTGGTTCACATCCTGATTTTTGAAAATGTCTTCTTCTGGACATAGTGGCCAAGTGAAGGAAAAATATGGCAAAATTGACCTTGTCAGCCCAGAGTAGTTTTTGTTTTCACAAAACCGAATCTGTGGGGAATCCTGCACATGCAGCCTCCACTTTGACCACCTTAAAACACAATGTCTATCCTCTATATCGTGTTTTTAAATAAAATGTTGTCTACAGTGGCACTGCCCAATTAAAACTACACTTTTATGCTTTCCCTCCCAACAGGAATATATGAATAGGAATCTGATCACTGGTTCTTCTAGCCCAGCGTTATCAATTTGGATTGGATGCCATTCTCCAGATTGTGAAGAAATATACTTTCCTAACCTAACCCTACCAAGAGTTTGCTAGTGGTCTCCTATCGAAATCTGAACTAGATCTGATTGTGCTTAGCTTTCTAAATCACAAAAGACTGGGGGCCCTTCCCCACAGCCTTATATCCCAGAATATTAAGGCAGAAAATCCTACATTTTCTGAGTGTGGACTCAGATAACCCAGGGCCCTTCCCCACAGCCCTATATCCCAGAATATCAAGGCAGAAAATCCCACAATATCTGCTTTGAACTGGGTTATCTGCATCCACACTCAGATAATGTGGGATGTTCTGCCTTGATATTCTGGGATATAGGGCTATGTGGAAGGGCCCTGGGTTATCTGAGTCCACACTCAGAAA